GTTCTCGGCTTTCTTTGGTTTGGGGTATGGGAAGCGACGTCTGGTAGCCTCAATGGGGATCCTATATACATCGGCATCACGCATAACATATGCGAGCATTGAACTTGAGAATTTGCCAGGAACCTCGATGCATGTGTTATAGGGGAGTCTTGCTTATGGCCTTAAGGAGAGCAATTGCAACCTCGCCTTAGCACACACGTGTGTGCCTGAGGGCCCTCTGCTGACACTGGAACCCTAAACCCTAAATCCTGAACCCTAAACAGCATTCTGCCTCCTCCCCCGTGTCTTCCCACCAGTCCTGCAAGTATAGCGCTTGAACCTCAAACCCTAGGCCCTAGAGGGTTTAGGAATTAGGTTTTAGGGTTTAGGGTTTTCATAGCCCTTGAACCTCAAATCCTAAACCATCAGCCCAACACACCTACATCCCGAAACTTCTATCCTAAACAAATCAGACCCCAAACCCATAAACCTGCAACATAAAACTCCCAGAACTCCTGAGGTCCCAAATCGCACTTCTACCCGAAACCAAAACGGCCTTTTAACCCACAAACCGGCTCCATGAACACCCCAAAACTACTTAAGCCCTCAATCCGGCCCATGAAAACCCTAAACCCTAAACCCTAAATCCTAAACCCTAAACCCCTAAACCCTAAACCCTAAGCCGAGGCAAGCGGCTGGTGTGCGCCGAGATCTTGATGGCCGTTCGGCCCGCATTCCTGACACTGCGGTGGTGGAAGGAAATCGCGCACCAGCTATCCCTGAACCCTAATGTTAACCTCACAGTAATAATAATATTCGCCGGGCCAGAGGGCCCCAGCCCAAGACTACTTTCCATTGCGGGACCTTCCTTTCGAAATCGTAGGCCCGTAGCGCAAGCCCGACCCTCGCAAACTTTACACACCTATTTGCTTTAAGCTGAACGTGAATTAGGGGCTCAAGGGTATTCTACTTGGAGGTTCGGGGTACTTATCACCCAATCAAAACTGTACTCAGAACCTACAAACCCTAAACCCTAAACCCTAAACCCTAAACCCTAAACCCTTAACCCAATCAGAAGTACCCTGAACCTCCAAGTAGGGTTTTTGAAATGTGTAGGGTTTGTAGCTGAACCCTAAACCCTAAACCCTAAACCGTAAAACCTAAACCCTAAGCTGTGCCGAAGTGCTGGATGATGAGGCCGCAGTAGTCCTGGCGCCATTCAGCTGGCTATGCATTGAGGTTTAGGGTTTAGGGTCTAGGGTTTAGGGTTTAGGGGAGCAGAGGAATCGAGGAGTGAAGGTTCAGAAAAACCTAGACCCCAAACAGCGAAGGCTGGAACCTGCGTCTGCGTCCCTAAACCCTAAACCCTAAACCCCAAACCCTAAACCCTAAGCCTGCTTTGGGGGCTTTGAGGGGGTTGGGGTTTAGGGTCTGGGGTTTAGGGTTTGGGGTTTGGGGTTTAGGGTTTGGGGTTTGGGGTTCGGAGTTCGGGGTTTGGGGTCTGGGATCTGGGGTTTGGGGTTTAGGGTCTGGGGTTCGGGCGCCCTGATCCCTAAACCCTACAAGGGTTTAGGGTATAGGGTGTGGGGTCTACAAAGGTTTACATTAACCTTCCCTACCAGAACCCTGAATCCTGAATCCCAAGCCCCATATACTTACCCCCAAAAACCTGAACCCGTAAACGCCTAAAAACTATGTGCAAATTCGAGCGCCGACACCCCCTGAACCCCCTCGCCCCAGCCGTCGCTCCGTGGGGATGGGCATGTTCATCCCTTCCGGAAAGATGCTGAGGGTTTAGGGAAAAGGGTTTAGGACCAGGCAGGTCTGCCGATCTTCCCCCCCTTGGACTGTTGCGCCCATACGGGGCAACCAAAGGCAAGAGTTTCGTGACGTCGTCAATGGCGCCCTTGATATGGGCCCTTGATCGGGGAACCCTTTTGTACCCTTCTATACCCTATAACACCCAAGGGGCCATACTTCAGAACCCTTGAAAGAAGGTAGGGGACCGTACTCAGGCACCATGTAACCAAACCTCACAAAAAAAAAAAAAAAAAAAAAAAAAAACAGATCAAAACCCTAAGCCCAAGCAGTGAAAACCTGCAAGTCTACCCCAAAACCCTAAACCCCTAACCCCAAAGCACCTAATTACCCCAAACCCTTAGATAAACCCTAAACCCCAAACCCTAAACCCTAAACCCCGATATAAACCCCAGAAAGCCGCGGTCCTGTCCATCCCAGGTACAGGTCGACCTCCCTTCGGTCCCCAAGCGGATGATGCAACGCACCTGCCCATGCTCGGGATTCAGGCTGTGGGGTTTACGGTTTAGGGTTTAGGGTTTAGGGTTTAGGGTTTAGGCTTTAGGGTTTAGGATTTGGGCTAGGGCTCAGGGCGAAGCGCTTAAAAGCCTCAAAGACTTCAAAATTTAAAGTCATCCACACCTCCAAACCCTTCCTGGTTCGGTGAGGGTACTTGCAAGTTAACTTATACGGGTGCTTCCCGACATAGGGGACCCCATATCTGCGTCCGCCCGCCGGGTTCTCGACCCCCCACCGGGCCCCGACATCAACCCCAAACTTACCAACAAACTTGAACCCTGTACAAACCATGAACCACAGAACATGAAACCCTCCACCTACAAACCCAGCAGAGCCACGGTTTAGGGTTTAGGGTTTAGGGTGGAGGGTTTAGGGTTTAGGGTTTAGGGTTTAGGGTTTAGGGTTTAGGGTTTAGGGTTTAGGGTTTAGGGTTTAGGGTTTAGGGTTTAGGGTTTAGGGTTTAGGGTGGGGGCGCGGGATGCGTGAATGCTGGTGCATGTATACCCGCACAATACGACAATCCTGATTGTATGATTGCAGGACCCCCTACAAAGGGACCCCTGATTTTCGGAAACTCCCTTAGAACAGTTCAAGAACTTCGTCTTGAGATTCCGGGCTGTTTCGGGTTCACTCAGAAGGGGGCTTAGGACTTCTAGCATATAGAATGAGGCTTCAGGATTTGTAGGGTTTAGACTTTAAGGTTTAGGTTTTAGGGGCTTTTGTTCGTGGGGGCCTTTGTGGCGGCTAAGTGAAGCAATGTCCCTTCAAACATCCAAGGCTGCAACTCTCAGAAGGTTTAAGGTTTAGGGTTTAGGGTTTAGGGTTTGGGGTTTAGGGTTTAGGGTTTAGTGTTTAGAGGTGGCCCTTACTGGGCTGAGTGAAGAGGATCTTCGGGAAGATGCTCCGAAGGCCTCAAGGGCCAACCTCGTAGGTACCCCAATCCCTAAACCTCAAACCCCACACCCCACACCCCGAAATCCTACACCCTAAACCCTAAACCCTAAACCCTAAACCCTAAACCCTAAACCCCGAACCCTAAACACTAAACCCTAAACCCTAAACCCTAAACCCTACGCCCTGCCCAAGCGATGGCTGCCTCTGGGCCCTGTCCTCGGAGTGTGGCGCGGGAGTGCTCGACGCCATCCACCGGGCAGGCGGCGTACTCCTGCTGCGCAGCTTGAGGTCAGGGGGGGTAGGGTTTAGGGTTTAGGGTTTAGGGTTTAGGGTTTAGGGTTTAGGTTTTAGGGTTTAGGGTTTAGGGTTTAGGGTTTAGGGTTTAGGGTTTAGGGTTTAGGGTTTAGGGTTTAGGGTTTAGGGTTTAGGGGTTAGGGCTTAGGGCTTAGGGTTTGGGGTTTAGGGTTTAGGGTTCAGGGTTCAGGGTTGAGGGTTTAGGGTTTAGGGTTTCCTGAACCCTGACTCCATTTAAGGCTTAAGGGCTTTAAGCCGTAAGGATTAAATTGGGCGGTTTGGGGTCTGCAGGGGCCATCCAGGAGTGGGTACGCTTCAAATCTCCATGTTCTTTTTGACATCTGCGGGAAACTGGTCGTAGTAGGGGATGCACAAGAAATGAGAACAGGGCTCCCTCTAACCCTAAACCCTAAATCCTAAACCCTGGGCATTTAAACGGATGGTAAACTTGGTACGTAGCCCAGTAACCATATTGGAATAAGGGCACCCTTTTTTGGGGTTGGTTACTTTATAAGGGGACCTTGAAACCACTGGGCTACCAAGTAACACTGGGTCGCACCAGGTCACTGAGATCCGTTCGCCAGTCTCAGTTGATCGTGCACGGCACTACTGTCGCCACCATAATCAGCACCGCCCCAGGTAACGATAGATCCATCGCCGAGGATCGCAGCAAAGGCAAAAGAATTCGATTGGATCTGCTGCACGTTTTTCAGCTGATCTTGCACGCCACGGCTGTCGCCACCAAACCAAGCAGTATTGCCCCAGGTCACAACGGATCCATCACTCAGGATCGCGGCGAAAGCCCCTTCAGACGCTTGGATGTGCTGCACGTTGCTCAGCTGACCTTGCACATGCCCGCTGTAGCCACCACGGTCAGCCTGGCCCCAGGTCACGACGGATCCATCACCTAGGATGGCAGCGCAGGCGCTATCAGTCGCTTGGATCTGTTGCACGTTCTTGAGCCGATCTTGCACAGCCTTGCTGCACCCGCCATAACGAGCCCCACCCCAGGTCACGACGGATCCATCATGCAGGATCGCAGCGAAGGCGGCATCAGTTTTCTGGATATTCGATACATTCACCAGCTGACATTGCACAGCACTGCTGTCGCCACCTAATTCAGCGTTGCCCCAGGTCACAACGGATCCATCCAACAGGATCGCAGCAAAGGCATTGGAAGTGGATTGGATCTTCTGCACGTTCTTGAGCCGATCTTGCACAGCATTGCTGTCACCACCAAAGGGAGCGGGGCCCCAGGTCACAACAGATCCGTCGCGCAGAATGGCAGCGAAGGCACAAGCACTTGCTTGAATGTTCTGCACATTCTTTAGCCGATCTTGCACAACATTACTGTCGCCACCGTTTACAGCATCGCCCCAGGTCACGACAGATCCATCACGCAGGATCGCAGCAAAGGCACCACCCAACGTGGCCTGGATCTGCTGCACGTTCTGCAGCCGATGTTGCACGGCACTGCTGTCGCCACCACGGTCCGCAGCGCCCCAGGTCACGACGGATCCATCGCTCAGGATCGCAGCGAAGGCATTCTTGTTGGCTTGGATCAGCTGCACGTTCTTGAGCTGACCTTGCACAGCATTGCTGTTACCACCACTTTTCGCCTGGCCCCAGGTCACAACGGATCCATCACCGAGGATTGCTGCAAAAGCTCGTTGGGTTGCTTGGACCTGGTGCACGTCGGCCAACTGATCTTGCACAGCGGCGCTGTCACCACCACTACAAGCCATGCCCCAGGTCGCGACGGATCCGTCGCCCAGGATAGCCGCAAACCCGCATGGCATGTGTCCGAACATGGATCCGCGCACTTGAACCTCCCGCACCTGCAAGGTCAGGGAATCCCCGGTCTGCAGCTTCAGGTTCTTCAGTGTGGTCTGCTCCTGCAGAACACCTCCCAAGGAGTCGAGGAGCACCCCTCTGCCCACGCCCAAGGCGGCCTGTGCGCGCCGCTTCAAGGCTTGCACGGGAGAGTCTATGTCGACTTCCAAGGAAACAGCCCTGCCGCTCATGAGGCTCACCTCTACAGATATCGACATCCTGCCCAGCACAGTGAGGAGACGCAGCCATGCAGTCTTTCTTCCCTGTATATGATCACTTGCTTACTTGGAGGTTCAGGGTACTTATTAACTAATTATAACTGTACTTAGAACCCACTTATAAGCCCCCTAAGTGCCCTAATATGGTTACAAGTACAGGCATAAGTACAGTTATAAATGGTTAATCAGTACCATGAACCTCCAAGTAGGACTCTTGCAACTTGTTCTAGCACGTAACAGCTTGCGGGAAGACTCGAAGGACTTGAAGAGCTGGAATCAATGCAGCCGCAAAGATCTGCTGTAGGGGCTCTTGCACGGAGCCACATGGAAACGGTTAGGGTTTAGGGTTTAGGGTTTAGGGTTTAGGGTTTAGGGTTTAGGGTTTAGGGTTTAGGGTTTAGGGTTTAGGGTTTAGGGTTTAGGGTTTAGGGTTTAGGGTTTAGGGTTTAGGGTTTAGGGTTTAGGGTTGCTTCTGAGCAGGATGCAGCTGTGCAACAAGGCTAAGTGCTGAAAGCCTGGGAGCATCGCCTCCAAACCTGCACGTAACCTCCAGCCGACCAAGCCGAACATCTCCAAGTTTCCAAAAGGGGGGTTCTAGGGTGTAGGTTTCGCTGAACCCTACACCCTAAACCCTAAACCCTAAAGCCTAAAATATAGGTTTCTCTAGGTTCTCGTGAAGTCTGCATGGCAAGTGTGACAGGAGGGCAAAGCATCCTCGCAAATACCGTGGGAAAGGAAGTACCCTACACCCTAAACCCTAAAACCCTAAAACCCTAAAACCCTAAAACCCTAAAACCCTAAAACCCTAAAACCCTAAACCCTAAACCCTAAACCCTAAACCCTAACCCCGCCTGTCTGCATGTCGAAGTGCTAGAGACTGCACCATCCAATCAGAAGGAACATTCCCACTGCCCCCTTAGGGTTTAGGGTTTAGGGTTAGGGTTTAGGGTTTAGGGTTTAGGGTTTAGGGTTTAGGGTTTAGGGTTTAGGGTTTAGGGTTTAGGGTTTAGGGTTTAGGGTTTAGGGTTTAGGGTTTAGGCTTTAGGGTTTAGGGTTTAGGGTTTAGGGTTTTAGGGTTTAGGGTTTAGGGTTCCCACTACCCCCACACCCCACCAAAAATCCCCGGAACTGACCAAGGCCCTCTGAGACCATGCTCAATGCTTCAATTCTTAGGGTAGTTACATGATCCCTTATTATAGGCCCTCAAAAGGGGACCTGATATAACCTGAACAATTAAGGACCCATACATTAGAACCCTTTAAGGGACGTAAGGGACCATATTAGGGGCCCATTTAGCTACCCTTAGATGAATTCTGAACCCGAAGCCCGAAGCCCTAAACTGTAAAGTCCAAACCCTAAACCCTAAACCTTTAGCCCGAAACCCTAAACCCTAAACCCTAAACCCTAAACCCTAAACCCTAAACCCTAAACCCTAAACCCTAAACCCTAAACCCTAAACCTTAAACCCTAACCCTAAAGCCTAAACTTAGCTGCTTGAGCTTAGGATTTGGGATTGGGCTTTTGGACTGAGGGTTCGATGTCCGAGCCGGCACGGCTAGACTAGGGCTTTGTTGGAGTAGCTGTAGGGTTTAGGCATGGGATGTTCCCCCTTACTTAGACTCCTTAATTAGGCATTCGGGTTTAGGGTGTAGGGTTTAGGATTTAGGGTTGGGGCTTATACCCCCCAATACAATCCCTAGTAAGGGCTGTTAGTATAAAGGGAAAATCCCAAGGTTTCGGCTTTATGCTAGCGCTGTTAGGGCTTGGGGTTTGGTTCAGGCTTGAGGCTTTAGGGTTGAGTGCCTGCATGGTAGCAGAGCACCCTGAACCCTAAACCCTAAACCCTAAACCCTAAACCCTAAACCCTAAACCATCAATTCGGAGCAGGCCCTGAACCCCTAAAGCCCTGAGCTCTCAGCTATCATTCTAAGAACCCCATACGAAACTCCTGAAACCCACTAACGCCCCAAAGGCCATTGCAACCCCTTAACACCCTAAACCCTAAACCGTAAACCCTAAACTCCTTTAAAGCCTGACAGCTAAGGGCGGCCTGGAAAGTCCAAGAGAGGATGTCCACGGACCTGTCCATGCCAAAGGCGCCGGGGATCAGAGTAAAGACCCACCCTAAACCCTAAACCCTAGAAATCCTAAACCCCAAACTCTCAATCCTAAACCTGCGAACACTCAAAAAAAAGCCCTACGCCCACAAAGCTTAAGCCCGGGGCGTCCAACGTAGAACTTGAATGTATAATAAAGGGCCCGGAAGAATTACTAATAGTATTCCCTTATGGTCCTTTTGTAGTCATACCATAATAACCCCCAAAATACCCTGTTCTAATCATTAAGGCCCCTATAGTAAGGGGTCTCGTTGCTCTCTCCGATCCAGGGTTCAGGGTGTAGGGCTTTAGGGTAGAGGTTGAACCCTTTGACCTGGCGCCGGCGCATTCCCCAGTTCCTAAGAAACTGTGCTTCAGGATCGTCAAGGACTGCGCATGTTCTTGAACTTTGTTTAGGGTTGAGGATTCAGCAGGGTTTAGGGTTTAGGGTTCAAGGGTTTAGGGTTGAGGGTTGAGGGTTCGGATTCAGCTAGTTCAGGGCTTTGCCTATACCTAAACATGTCGAATTATCTAGGTGAGTGTGCATGGCTTCTGGACTTTGGCAAGCTGCCCTAAACCCTAAACCCTAAACCCTAAACTGCTCCTCACCTCACCATTGCGTGTCGGTAGGCTTCTCGTTTAAGGGTTTAGGGTTTAGGGTGCCAGGCTGCTTCACAAGGTTCAGCTCTGAACCACTAAACACTGACCCCTAAAACCTATACGGTTTAAGGCATTAAGCGTCCTAGGTGAACGGAGGGATAGAAGCCAAAGTGCTGGAACTGAAAGTAGCTCGTGCTGCTGGTGAAGCCTCGGATGATGGCGCAGTTTGGGCTTGGAAGGCGGTGGGGGACATGTTGCGGGGAGGCGCCGATCACTTGCTAAACCCGAATTTGTGTTGTCCTTCCACCCTAAGACTCCACAACCTCAACCCGAGCGAATCTAAAGAAGAACCCTAGGCTCTAAACCCCAAACCCTAAGCATGGCATTGAGGACTTGGGCGGCGTCTACATCAACGCCTGCGGCAAGGGTTTAGGGTTTAGGGTTTAGGGTTTAGGGTTTAGGGTTTAGGGTTTAGGGTTTAGGGTTTAGGGTTTAGGGTTTAGGGTTTAGGCTTTAGGCTTTAGGCTTTAGGGTTCCTGTGGCCTTGCCCTTACCCAGCTGTCCTCTGTGGCCCTTACCACTGGGTTTTCCCATGTTGGAGTTCATAGGGCTTAGGCCCCAACCCGCAACAAACAAGTTGAGGGTGAAGGGTTAGGAAACCTTAAACCCTAAACCCCCAAATTAGCAGAAACCCCAAACCCTAGACCCTAAACCCCAAAATTAGCCCTAAACCCCAAACCCTAAACCCTAAACCCTACACCCTAAACCCTAACCCCAAACCCCAAACCCTAACCTTAAATACCCTAAACCCTAAACCCAGAACCCTAAACCCTAGCCCTAAACCCTAAACCCTAAACCCCTCCTACGCAAAACACAACCACCTCTACACTGCTGCCCCGGCGGCCGACCCAGGCTCTGCCGGGACTGGCACCTCTGGGGTTTAGGGTTTGGGGTTTAGGGTTTGGGGTTTAGGGTTTAGGGTTTAGGGCTTAGGGTTTAGGGCTTATTTCGGGACTGTGTGGGGTTTAGGGTTTGGGTTTATGGAAACTGTAAAGGGTTTGTGTCCGGAGTTTTGTCGGGTTTTGGGGGGGGGGGGTTTGTTTTTTTTGCTTTTGCTGGGACTATGTGGGGTTTAGGGTTTAGGGTTTAGGGTTTAGGGTTTGGGGCTTAGGGTTTAGAGTTTAGCGTTTGGGGCTTAGGGTTTGCGGCTTATGTCGGGATTCTGTAGGGTTTAGGGTTTGGGTTTAGGGTTTAGGGTGTGGGGTTCAGGGTTTGGGCTTAGGGTTTGGGGTTTAGGGTTTGGGGATTGGGGTTTAGGGTTTAGGGTTTGGGGCTTAGGGTTTGGGCTTATTTCGGGATTATGTAGGGTTTAGGATTTGGGTTTAGGGTTTGGGGTTTCGGGTTTCGGGTTTGGGGTTTAGGGTTCAGGGTTTGAGGGTTTAGGGTGTGGGGCTTAGGGTGCACGGCGTATTTCGGGATTATGTAGGGTTTAGGGTTTGGGTTTCGGGTTTAGGGTGCGGGGTTTAGGGTTTTGGGCTCCGGGTTTGGGGTTTGGGGTTTAGTGGGGTTGCGGTTTGTTTGGGGCGTAGGCTCATGTCGAGATTGTGTAGGGTTTGGGGTTTGGGGTTTGTGATTTGGCGTTTCGGGTTTGGGGTTTGGGAACAAACATAGTGTGACCTGGGCCAAGGGCCTCAGGACTAGAGAGTTGTCTGGGCCGGGTTCAGGTTGCAGGGTTCAGGGTTTCGGGTTTAGGGTTTGGGGGTTTAGGGTTTAGGGTTTAGGGTAGGGCTTGGGCTTTAGGGTTCTTCCGGCTTCAAGGTTTTGGGTGAAAGGGTTTGGGGTTCTACGGGGGTTCGGGGTTTCAGGGGCGATGGTGGTTTGAGTGGTTCTTAGTTAGTAGGGAATGAGGGAACGAGTTACTCTATATCCCCCCCAATATATGCCCTTCAAGGGATGATGTAGGCAGCGCCAGCACGGCTTGGAGGTGCAGCTCTTGGATGATGTACTCGAGCGCTGCTTCGCTTCCACTGTGTGCTCCCCAGTTCGGCTTTGAAGGGTCGCAACACCTGCACAACATGGGCGGGACAAGATTGGGGCCTTTGCCGCGGCTGCGGTCATGAGCGTCAAGGCCACAAACCCATCCTGCTGCCTGAGTGGCTCATCTTGGTCGTCCGGGTTGGGGTTTGGGGTTTGGGGTTTAGGGTTTAGGGGGTTTAGGGTGTTTAGGGTGTTTAGGGTTTAGGGTTTAGGGTTTTAGGGTTTTAGGGTTTTAGGGTTTTGGGGTTTAGGGTTTAAACTGTCAGTCATAGAGCCCCGGAACAGACCAGAGTTCCATGATCTGAGAAGCCACCCTGATTCGAGCTCCTAAAGTGCCCTGGCATACAAAAGCCAGCCCTTTGTCCAAGACTAATTCACCTAAACCCTAAACCCTAAACCCTAAACCCTAAACCCCAAACCCTAAACCCCATACCCCCGAAACCCATACAGAATATAGGCGAGTCTAAGCAGGATTTTACCGTACCCCTTTGTCTCTTTTAAGGGTATGTTGTCCCCAGGGGAAGGCTGAATGTTTCTCGAAGACTGTAGGCACTAAACCCTAAACCCTAAACCCTAAACCCTAAACCCTAAACCCTAAACGGCCCTAAGCGCAAAAATCCTAAACCAAGGGCAACGGTTGGAGGCCCCCTTAGGATGGATTCAATGCAAGAATGACAGAAGCCCAAACCTTGAGTCCTAAACCCTAAAGACCCAACGGCAGAAAACACAGGAATCCACGCGAACAGCTGCATCGACAAACCTGAAATAAGTTGACAGGAGGGTTCCTTCAGTCATAGCCCTGCAAATCCTATCCGCTAAGCCCTAAACCCCTAAATCCCTAAACCCCTAAATCTCCGAACCCTAGGCCCCGAAACTCCCAAACCTTAAACCCTAAACCCTAAACCCTAAACCTTCAACCCTAAACCCTCAAGCCCCCTGAAAGTATTAAAAAAATTAAAAGGCGAAACTTTCCTCGAAACTTTCCCCGGACCTGAACCCTTAATAACCTCAATAAACCCTAAACCCTAAACCCTAAACCCTAAACCCTAAACCCTAAACCCTAAACCCTAAACCCTAAACCCTGGATGGTGGCGCCTTTCTCGTCGTAGGCCTCAGGATCTGGCTGCCTGCCGGGCGTGCTTCGCGTGTTGTGGAGGCCAGGAAAACAGGCATTGGGTTTAGGGTTTAGGGTTTAGGGTTTAGGGTTTAGGGTTTAGGGTTTAGGGTTTAGGGTTTAGGGTTTAGGGTTTAGGGTTTTGGGGGACCAACCGTGGAAACAAGTTGACCATGGTAAGAGCCTTATTCTATCGGCCATATATCTCCGTAGTGTGGTAACTCTACACCCCAAACCCTAAGCCCTAAACCTTAAACCCTAACCCTATAAACCCCAAACCCTAAACCTTAAACCCTAAACCCTAAACCCTAAACCTTAAACCCTAAACCCTAAGTCCTAAGCCCGAAACCCTAACCCGGTATCAGGCCTATCCATCTTCTCAAAGCTGGGTGTATACATGTACAGTTAAAAAAGAAGTTTGCTGGTGTAGTGCAGTTGTGGAATTAGGTACCCAAACACCCCATCTAGGGGTTTGGGGTTCGGGGGTTTCGGGTTTAAGGGTTGAGGGGTTTAGAGGTTTAAGGGTTTAGGGTTTAAGGTAGGGTTTACGGCGTACCAAAATCCATAACTGTAAGACAAATGCAGCCTCTGGGAAAACCAGTCTGATGAAACCATGTGGACAAGTATGCCGACGTCGTCTCTGGAAGTCGGTATGTGGGGCTTAGGGTTTTGGGGTTTAGTGTTGGGGTTTTGGGGTGTAGAGTTTAGGGTTGTTCAGGCACACTTGGGTTCTTGAACATGGTTTTCCGGGTCCCCAACGCTGCACGTCACCGCTTCATGCCCCCCGCGCCTGGGTGCATTCTCTGATGCCTTGGCAGTGCCATCCACGTTGACGATGTACGAGAGGTCCTTGTCAGGTACAAGGGTTCCCAGAACAACCCATAACAGGCCTTCGGTTTAGGGCCTAGGGTGCTCGGCTCATTAGGTGTTGTGATTTAACGGATATTTACCCTAAACCTTAAACCCTAAACCCTAAACCCTAAACTATACACAAGGCCTTAGAGACGCAGGGGAACATGGCTTGAGAGTTGCGAGATCCATGGCAAAAACCCCGACTCACAACTCCCTGCACCCTGAGCCTGAGGCCCTAGGCCTGAAAACTGGCTACCCGGGTTTAGGGTTTAGGGTTAGGGTTTAGGGTTTAGGGTTTAGGGTTTAGGGTTTTAGGGTTTAGGGTTTAGGGTTTAGGGTTTTAGGGTTTAGGGGTTTGGGGTTTGGGGTTTGGGGTTTGGGTTTAGGGTTTTTGGGGTGGGGTTTGGGGTTTGGGGTTTGGGGTTTAGGGTTTAGGGTTTAGGGTTTAGGGTTTAGGGTTTAGGGTTTAGGGTTTAGGGTTTGGGGTTTGGGGTTTAGGGTTTAGGGTTTAGGGCCGTTTAGGGTTTAGGGTTTATAACCTAGGGTCACAAATGGTACTTTGCTTCGATTAAAGGGGTTTCTAAGGGCTCACCGAAAAAAGGGTACCTGCTTTCGTTTAAAGGGGTTTACAAGGACTCACCCCATGAAAAGAGGGTAGAAGGGCCCGCTCTGGGTTCGAGCCTTGAAGCTCTAAACCCTTTAGTACCCTAGACAAAAAACACTGCATAATGAGACCACGAGCATCCTAACCCGCAAACATCCCAAGCGCTTTCTTTTGCACGCTGGGGGTCGAAGGTCCAGAGTTTTTTTGGGGGAGTGGGGGCTTTGGGGAAAAACAAAGCCAAACCCAAAAGCTATTCTGAAGACCCGAAAGCCGAAATCCAGAACTCTAAACCCTAAAAACCCTAAACACTCTGAAAACCCTAAAAATCGCAAACCCGAAAAACCTAAAACCCTCAAAAGCCCTGAAAACCCTACACCCTCGCAGCCCTCAACCAGGGAGGGGTTTAGGGTTTAGGGTTTAGGGTTTAGGGTTCAGGGTTTAAGGTTTAGGTCTAGGGCACAGCCAAGCCCGAGGTCGCGGCCACTGGGACCACGATCACGCGCTGCCCGTCCAGCTCCACAGACAGGAGTCCTTGCGGGGAGTTTAGGGTTTCGGGTTTAGGGGTTAGTATGGGGATTTGGGTTTTGTAGGGTATATAAGGGGTATGTAGGGGGTCCTCTTCTAAAGGCCCATACTAAAAGGACCACTTCACTACCCCAAGCTGGCAGGGATTTTCGGGCTGTTAGGGCTTCTATAGGCGGCTTGGGGCTGATAAATAACTCTGCCTAAGCCCTGAGGGTTTTCTATATAGGGTTTGGGTTTGCTTGGGGTTTAAGAGATATGCCCTAAACCCTAAACCCTAAACCCTAAACCCTAAACCCTAAACCCTAAACCCTAAACCCTAAACCCTAAACCCTAAACCCTAAACCCTAAACCCTAAACCCTAAACCCTAGACTAGTTGTCAGGGTGGTTCAGGACTACCCAAGTCATGGGCATCGCACCTGCGCGGCCGGAGTGCTGCTGCCTCCGGAGGTGGCCAGCTTGGGGAGTTTCGGGTGCGCGGGCTTGGGGGGCAAGGAAGTCAAAGGAAGGTTTGGGGTTTAGGGTTTAGGGTTTAGGGTTTAGGGTTTAGGGTTTAGGGTTTAGGGTTTAGGGGTTAGGGTTTAGGGTTTAGGGTTTAGGGTTTAGGGTTTAGGGTTGAGGGTTTAGGGTTTAGGGTTTATTCGCGAGAGGGCCGGATGGGCACCACCACCCGGGGGCCGGATGTTTTAGTTCACACCCTTGATTATTACCACCAGGAGGCCTCGTAAGGGGAAGCCATGCCGGATTTGTTTCGGGTTCACCCGAAACCCCTACACCCCTAAACCCGAAACCCCTAAAGCCCTAAACCTTAAAAACTAAACCCTAAACCTTAAACCTTAAACCTTAAACCCTAAATGCGGAGTCCCCTGGAGAAGCGGGGGGGAGGGGGGGGGAAGTTGTGGGTAGGCCGCGGCAATTACTCCGCAGGTCGTCTTTCCCTTCCCTGCCCTTCCTTCCTTGCCTAATCAAACCCTAAACCCTAAACCCTAATCACACACAAAAGGGTCCCAGAAGCTGTCTTGAAGAGAGGCCCGGAAGAGGCCCCCGAAGGCATATGTTTATACAGTTCTTAAGAGGGGGGGTTCAAGAGGGTATGTAACCCAAGGTTCCTTAATGCTCCCCACTACTCCCTAAGGCTCCTAAGGTTTCTGAGGTACCTGCCCCCCTTGAACCCCCCTGCCTTAAGAACCCCGTAATTTTACCACCTCCCCCCCCCCTTTTGTTCCACCCCAACGCCGGAACAAATCCTGCGGCCGGGGCGGGGGTCATCAGAGCGACCCCAACATTAGTGCGCCCGAAACAAGAACCCCTAAACCCTGGACCATGGATCCTAAACCCTAAACCCTAAACCCCAAACCCTAAACCCTAAACCCCTAAACCCTACTTCGAGCCCTCAGACGCCTGAAGAAGGCGCCACCGGCGTCCGAGTCGAAGCGCTCGCCGTAGTTGTCCCAGCGCACGCTCCTATAGTAGGGTTTAGGGTTTAGGGTTTAGGGTTTAGGGTTTAGGGTTTAGGGTTTAGGGTTTAGGGTTTAGGATTTAGGGTTTAGGGTTTAGTGTTTAGGGTTTAGGGTTTAGGGTTTAGGGTTTAGGGTTTAGGGTTTAGGGTTAGGGTTTAGGGTTTAGGGTTTTGGGTTTAGCCCAACTAGGGTGCGCTAAGGTTGCCCAAGGTTCCCTAAGCTCAGGGTTTTCAGGGTTTAGGGCCCAAAATGCCCCCCACCCCCACCCCCCCCTTCAGCCTCGACTTGCCACTCTAAGCCCTTAAGCCACTACATCTTCTTGGTAGCCCAGCACCTACACCGTAGTGAGGGCCCTTTCTGAGGTTTTTGGGGTGGGAGTTACGGGCTCAGTATGCGTAAATATGATCCTCTTAAACATACAAAATAACCCCAAGGGCAAACCTAGATTAGGGCTTCAGGGTCTAGTCTACAGCTCCTAGGAGCCCCTGAACCCACGAACCCGCCACGCCTGACGTCGTAGACGATGCGGACGACATGGGTCCCCTCTTGGAGGGGCGGAATGTCGTCCGTGTATGCCTTGCTGGTTTAGGGTTTAGGGTTTAGGGTTTAGGGTTTAGGGTTTAGGGTTTAGGGTTTAGGGTTTAGGGTCGGACGTTTGGGTGCTTCCGTTCCCTTCGTTCCAGCCTTGCCCGGGGCTCATCAGGGCTTCAACGGGGGGGGCTTATGCCAACAAGGAACCCCTAATATAGACTCCCAAATAGTAGGATCCCCTTAAAACAAACAGGACCCCAATACGGTATCCTCACATAAGGGACCCCTAGTATGGACTCCCAAATACTAGGATCCCATAATAAAAAAACAGGACCCCAATACGGTATCCTCAGCGTCGTACACCCCACATAGCTGGCTGACTCGTCGGCCCATGGCGTGAAGATCGCTTCAAGGCTTCTGGGCAATTTTTGGGCCTGAAGAATTGGAATAGCGTTTTGGAGAGCATTAGAGTACAATCATAAAGGGATCCAATAAGGGAATACTATTAGTAGCTATTCCGACCCCCTATATTACAAAGTTCGACTTTCCTTTGACTTCTCGGGGTGCAGCTCAGGGTTCTTAGTGTGCGTAGTTGGCGTGGTCTTCCAGTAGCAGCAAGCCCTTCCAACCTTAAGTAGTCCTCCACCCCAAGCCCGCAACCCTATATGTACATTCTAAACCCGAAACCCGAAACCCTAAACCCTAAACCCTAAACCTTAAACCGCCCCAACCTACAACAGGCATCCCAGAGCACGCCGAGCTGCGATGGAGGAAGTGCCGTGGTCAGCGGAGTTTGGCTCACCTCACAGGGTTTAGGGTTTAGGGTTTAGGGTTCAGGGTTTAGGGTTTGGGGTTTGGGGTTTCGGGTTTAGGGTTCAGGGTTTAGGGTTTAGGGTTTGGGGTTTGGGGTTTGGGGTTTAGGGTTTAGGGTTGGGGTTTAGGGTTTAGGGCGATTCAGCCCATCTATCCATCGGAATTCATATTTGATAGGCGCGCGCACACAGAGGTCGTTTTTAGGGTTTAGGGCGTGTATATACACATACGTATACATCAATACACGTCTATAGATGTTTATGCATATATATATATATATATATATATGTATGTATTTTGTATATGCGAAGCAGCTCATCAACAATATCAAAATCATTACAAAAGAGATACGCGTAAATACATGCACATGTATAAGTGTGCATGTGTATGTGCTAGGGTTTAGGGTATAGGGTATAGGGTTTAGGGTTTAGGGTTTAGGGCCCTAAACCCTAAACTCCAAACCCCAAACCTTAAATCCCTTCCCTGCCCTCCCGTCTCTGCCCCCACCTTTCCGTGGCGGCACTTGGACCTGAGCCGTCCAGGGGTTTAGGGTTTAGGGTTTGGGGTTTGGGGTTTAGGGTTTAGGGTTTAGGGGGTTCAGGGCTGAGGGTCGGTTTGGCGAGAGTTCCCTACCAAACTTGCCCAAACTCTCCAAAACCCAATGACCTCAAAAACTCTTGAGAAATCCATGGCCCAGAGTGTCTTCATCTAGTTTCGGCTTGCTTCGGGCCCTGCAATACAAGGTTTTGGAAACAAGACTTACTAACACATTCAAGCTACCCCCCCCCCCCCCCCCGGGTGCATGGAATTCTCGCCTTCTTATCCAGCTGTCACTGTAAACGCAAAGCCTGTTCCAGCCACAGAACGAAAAAAGCTCCCTCGCATGTCTCACTCTGCAAAACAAAGATGCGTGTCCCCGCCATAAGTTCTAAACCCTTAAGCCCTAAACCCTGCTTCCCCACCCCCGCCCCCACTCCCCACTCCTCCCACGGTGGATCAATCCAGGGTGCGCTGATGTGATTCGAGGTGAGCTCGCCGAGATCGGGGTTCCGGTACATGTCGAACTCGATGGCTAGACCTGACTTCGATAATCCCCTTTGAACCATCAGAAGCATGTGGTTGCTTGAGAGACCCCCCCACAAACCCCTGAACCCTGAACCCCAACCCTAAACCCTAAACCCTAAACCCTAAGATTTGGGCTTTGCTATCTGAAGCAACGGAGCTTTCAGGGTTCAAGGGTTTTTCTAAAGTCTGGGGATGGAGTCCAGGGTTTGCTCTTTAGGGTTTAGGGTTTAGGGGTTAGGGGTTCGGGTTTAGGGTTTAGGGTTTAGGGTTTAGGGTTTAGGGTTTAGGGTTTAGGGTTTAGGGTTTAGGGTTTAGGGTTTAGGGTTTAGGGTTTAGGGTTTAGGGTTTAGGGTTTAGGGTTTAGGGTTTAGGCTTATGGCTTTAGCGATCAAGGCTTCGGGCCTTCGAGTTTGGGGTTTGGGATTTGCGGTGAAAACCCTAAACCGGCAGAGTTTCAGGGTATATCTGAACCCCAAAGCCCCAAACGCCTGAACCGCAACAAAAGAAATCAGACTTAGGCCCCTTAACCCCTAAACCTATACTCCCCTTAGAACCTCAAACAAAATGAATATAAGTATCCTTTTGGGTTTTATATTAGCAAAAAAAGTTCCCGAGGGGGATATAGAAACCAGGGCTTAGGGTTTGGGGCTTTGGGGCTTGGAGCACGAGTTGAGAGGCCCTGCTGTCATCGGGCTTATCGTCTTGAGAAAACCCCCAGCCGCCTCAACCTCTGTTGCAAGCTTCAGGGTCCAGGGTTATTGTGTCCATTAGGGTTTTGACGTTTTAAGGTTCAGGGTTGTTAGGGTTTAGGGTTTAGGGCTTGCACGTTAAACGTCGTCTCGTGTCGCTCAATAACACCGCTTTGGTGTAGATGTGTGGGTCGCACCTCATCCCTATAGCCTAAACCCTAAACCCTAAACCCTAAACCCCGAACCTTGAACCCCTCCAATCAACTTCCAGAGCCCTGACCCTGAAACCGTCAAGCCCAGGCTCTGTAGCGGAAGCCGTAGCCGTTTCCAGAGATGTCGTTACCTGGGCAGGAACCGAACCTAAACCCTAAACCCTTAACCCTAAACCCTAAACCCAAAACCCTCAAATCCTAGGGTCTAGGCTTTAGGGTTAGGGTTCAGGGTTTAGGGCGCAGGGTTTCCTGAACCCTGAACATCCCCAAAACCTGCTGAAACCCTGCCAAAACCCGGTAGCCCCAAACAAACCCCCAAATCTCAACCCTGACGCCATGAACCTTACAACCCCTATCACGCTTCATAAGCATATGTATGTATGCACGCACCTCAATAATCCCATACCCATGCGCCCGCCCCCAAATTGCCAATATCTAGCCCCTAGAGGGTCTAAACCTACATCCTAAGCCCGAACCCCCTAAACCTTAGCCCCCTAAACCCCCAAACCCTAAACTCGAAACACTAAACCTGAAAACCTAAACCCCATATAACCACTCTGATCGAATTTACGGGTCTTCGTTTAGCCACTTATCAAACGCAAACCCTAAACCCTAAACCCTCAACCCCAAGCCCTAAACCCTAAACCCTAGACCCTCAAGCCCAAACCCTCAACGCCTAAGCCCTAAAAGGCTCCCAACAGTTCAAGGGTTTAGAGTTGAGGGGTTTTGAGGGTTCGGGGGTTTAGGGGCTGAGGCTGCAGGGTGCTGAGGGTTTAGGGTTTAGGGTTTAGGGTTTAGGGTTTAGGGCTTAGGGCTTAGGGGTTGATGGTTCTCAAGGTCTAGGGGCTCTACTGTCGGGGTTGAGGATTCAGGGTTTTGAGGGGTCAGGGGTCAGGGGGTTGAGGGTTCAAGGTTCAGTGCCTTAGGGGCTTAGGGGCTCAATCCTTCTCTCAGGCTCAGGAATCAAGGGAGGGTCAGATCTGCTCAGGCGAGCAGTCGGGTTATGTCGGCATGGGCTTTAGGATCGTTTAGGTCTAGGGCCTCGGGTTTTAAAGTTCTCCCAAGGCTGCAAAGAAGAGTTCTTGCTATTTCTGATGTCCTGAGTTAAACAAGACTGAATTGCCGTAAAAGATGAGCTCTTGAGGGTTTTGAGGCTGCAGGGCAAACCCTAAACTGAACCCTAAACCCCAAACGACATGCTCTTGAGGCTTTAGTGCTTCCGAGGCGCTGGAGGATTGCTGCTGGAGTTTGTGGGTTCAGGGTTTAGGGATCGCCTACTGCCTACCTTTCTGCTTACGAATTAGGGAGCTTGGGCGCGCTATACAAACCCTTTCAAGGCTCATGCAGTTGGGGCGCACAAATGTCTCGCCCTCGCATCCCCAAAACCTGATCCAAGCTCGAGCACCCCTTACAGACCCTAAAGCCCTTGCAGGCCCTAACCCCTAAACCCTAGACCCTAAACGCCTAAACCTCTCAACCCCCAAGCCCCTAATCCCCTAAACCCCTATAAACCCTAAACCCCTATACCCTAAACTCGAAAGTCTGTGCAAACCCCGAACCCTTTTTGTGCTGCTGCGCCGCCGACGATCTTCCGCCCTTCGTTCCTGAGCTTTTCAGATGCAGACATTCCCGGACATCCCGGATCACAACAGCTTCCTACATGGATTGAAACAGCGGGCTGCCCCAGATTGGGTGCCGGTCTAGTTTAAACTATCCAAAAAAAGGGTTTCCCTAAACCCGAAACCGCAACCCTAAACACTAAACAATGAGAAAAACAAACGTGGTTTATTTGGGGAGCGCAGCCCACATGACTCTGCAACACGTGTGCCACAGGTGAGCTGAAAGGGGCCTGAACGGATCAATGAGAAGCTCCGTAGCCCTCAACCCTAAACCCTAGACTCAATGCACTACGACGATCCTCATTGTAAGAATTCTCAGAACCCCTCACCCCCCCCCCCCCCCCCCCCGCACCAAAATCGTGCGTACTCCTAATTTTGCATAAGCCCCAAAAAATCTGAGGCTCTGTATGACGAAGGCGAATCCGTCGGCCCCAGCTGGCTCGCACCACTCGCCCACCCAACACTCCTGCGGTGGCTAAGGAGTTGACGGTTCGGGGCATCCTAAACTCTAAGCCAACACCGTGAGCCTAGGGAATGCAGTGTAGTACTCACAGCATATAAATTGGGTGGTTATAGCCGAGGTTGCAAGTAGCATAGCTAAGAACCCTTCAACAAAAAACTCTAAGCTATCCATGAATCTCCGGGAACCGACTTCAATGCCCTGCAGTTAAGTTGGGCTTTGGGTTAAGGCTCTGTGTTTTGGTTTAGGGTTTAGGGTTTAGGGTTTAGGGTTTAGGGTTTAAGGTTTTTTTAGGACCAAGAGCTGGGGTTTGGCGAGGATGCATGAATGGCCACATCCTCTGTGACGCTGCGCACACCCTAAACCCTACTGTAGCTTATACACCCGACACCTTTAACTTTGAATGATCAATAAACGCATATTCTGCCTTTAAACTCTACAATGACAATAAAGCCCTAATTACACGCCTCATAATCCTCGAAAGCCCCATAAGCCCCAAACCCTTAACCCTTAAAGAGCCCTGAACCCTTAAAGAGCCCTGAACCCTGAATCCTAGTCCTAATTCCCTGAAAGCCCAACCTCACCCCTAAGACCCCAAACCCCAAACCCCAAACCCCAAACCCCAAACCCCAAACCCCAAACCCCAAACCCCAAACCCTAAACCCTAAACCCTAAACCAAACCCTACACCTTAAACACGAAACCCTAAACCCTAAACGGTCGGTCTTTGGTGCGGTGGAAGACGCGGAAGTGGAACTCAGTCCTGAAAACTGCTTGCGCTGGCGGGGTTTAGGGTTTAGGGCTAGGGTTTAGGGTTTGGGGTGATAGGCATTGGGGTTTACGGTTTAGGGTTTTGGGGTTACAGGGTTTGGGGTGATAGGCAGTAGGGTTTAGGGATTAGGGTTTGGGTTCTAGGGCTTAAGTCTTTGGATCATACAGCTGACACGGATGTTGATTTTGATGTAGCCTTTCCAGTTAGAAACCTCAAGCTGCACGACCAATCTAGTCTAACCCCCGAACCCTAAACTCCAAAACCCCTCCACACAACCCTGAAATCCAAAAGATTCTAAACCCTAAGCCCCAAACAACGCCAAGCCCAACCCTAAACCCTAAACCCTAATTAAACCCTAATTAAACCCTAAACCCTAAAGTCATGAAAGAGAGATTTGCACACCGTTCTTGAGCAAAACACACCCCGAGCTCCTCAACCCAAGACCCGAAACCCCGAACAAGCAGTGTAGGCTAGAACCAACAAGTATAGTGTAGGCTTGTGGTTGCCAACCCTAAACCCTAAACCCTAAACCCTGAACCCTAAGCCCTAAACCCGAAACCCTAAGCCCTAAGCCCTAAGCCCCTAAACCCTGAACCCAACACCTGGGTTTGGACGATCGGGGCTTCTGAGGCCTAAGGGTTTAGGGGCTTTGGGCCTGGATGAAGCCTTCCTGAGTGCAAGTCTATGTTCATGAGGGCTTAAGGTTTAGGGTTAGGGGTTCGGGTTTAGGGTTTAGGGCTTAGGGTTTAGGGTTTCGGGCTTGGTGTTTCGGGTTTAGGTCCCACACCGAAGATATCCGAAGTGCTTTCAGGGAACTGCTCTGAACGGACCTACGGTTAAGCCATCTCAGCTTCCGAACACATCTTCAACCCTGAACCCTAAACCCTAATGCGACCGAAGTCCTAAGCCCTAAACCTGAAGCATCACTAAGCCCTAAACCCTAAGCGCCCCGAAGCTCTGAACCCTGAACATGCTTAAGTCCTAATCCCTAAACCCAAAACCCAAAACCCCAAACCCTAAACCCTAAACCCTAGCCCTAAACCCTAAACCCCAAAACCCTATAAAGGGAGGCCGAGGTTCTCGAAGCCGTAAGACACCAGCTGCTTGAAGCGGCTCCAGGCAGCGGAGTTCTGCGCGCTCCTGGGGTTTAGGGTTTAGGGTTTGGGGTTTAGGGTTTGGGTTTGAGGTTTAGGGTTTGGGGTTTAGGGTTTGGGGTTTGGGGTTTAGGGTTTGGGGTTTAGGGTTTGGGGTCGGCGCGTCACAGGCCGCCGACCCGGTTGGCTCGCCCACATCCGGCTCCAAATTCGGCTTCCGAAAACATCATGTTTTAGGGTTTAGGGTTTAGGGTGAAAAACGCGCGATTCCCCACCGAAATTGGGCTCCTGGACGCATTTTTTGGGTGCTCACGGGGGGTCCCCAAAACGACCCCGGAGAGCATCATCGACTCTATTTTTTAACTTTTGCCGAAGACGCGTTGTTGATGTTTTTTTGGGGGGGCATCAAGGACCCCCACCAGAGCGCGCATCATGAGCATCAGCGGGAAAACGCAGAAAACGCTGCAAATACCGTGGTTTTCGTGCTGTTGCGGACCTTTCCGTCTTGAGGCCGGCATGTGCCCCCATAAGCCACGCATGCCTGGAGGCCGGAGCCGCTGATGCTCATGATGCGCGGCTGGGCGGGTGCCACGGGTGCGCATCATCGAGGCTCCGTTTCTCCTTGGGGATCCGGGGGGCGAGCATCAGCAGCATCAGCGGCTCCTGGGCGGAGGGAGGGGGGTTTAGGCTGCAGGACTTGGAAGGACGCTGCCAGAGCATGGCGTTCGATGTGCCGCCCCGACAGACGCCTGCGCGCGCGCGCATCCGCGCGCGCGCGCGCGGAAAAGCACCCGTTCCAGCGCGCGTTGCGGCTGCCGGGCCCCTGAGCTGCTCCGCCCGGGGCGTGCCCGGCTGTGGGCGACGGCCCCATTTGATTTAGGGTTTGGGTTTAGGGTTTGGGGTTTGGGGTTTAGGGTTTGGGGTTGAGGGTTTGGGGTTTAGCGCTTGGGGTTTAGGGTTTGGGGTTTGGGGTTTAGGGTTTGGGGTTTAGGGTTTGGGGTTTGGGGTTTTGGGGTTTAGGGTTTAGGGTTTGGGGTTTGGGGTTTAGGGTTTAGGGCTCAGGTGATGCAATGTTTAGGGTGCAGGTGTACCCTGAAAAAGTTCGAAACCCAACTAAACCCTAAACCCCAAACCCCAAACCCTAAACCCTAAACCCTAAACCCTAAACCCTAAACCCTAAACCCTAAACCCCAAACCCCAAACCCCAGACCCTAAACTCCGGCTTGGTGACGAAGAGTGGTTCAGGAGTTCCGCTTATTGGGGTTTATAGGGCTTAATGAGCACCATTTCTGAGCATATATATATACATATATACATATATGTATATATATATATAATGTAGAGTTTAGGGTTTAGGGCTTAGGGACATGTACATTAAACACATGTAGTATGTGCCGGGGGGGGGGAAGCCGCTAGTATAAGGGGGAACATCCCAACCCTAAACCCCAAACCCTAAACCCCAAACCCTAAACCCCAAACCCTAAACCCCAAACCCAAAACCCCAAACCCTTATCGAACATCCCAAGCAGGATCTTTTGTCCGACGTCCAAAGCCTCAGGCAAGGACCTGAGGATGCTTTTGCCTCCAATGGATCCGGATTCCACAATGCCAGCTCTAAGGCACAGGTTTAGGGTTTAGGGTTTAGGGTTTAGGGTTTAGGGTTTAGGGTTTTGGGGTTTTGGGTTCAGGGGAGCGTGATGCTTGATAGAAGCACGGTCTTCGTGCTCTCTACACTGCACGTTACCAAGAACTCTTTCTCCAACATCGAATGAAGCAACAGCGAACAAAAAACGTCCAAAGAAAGTTACTGGGTGACACAGCATCCAGACCCCTCCTTCTCGGCAATCAGAGGGTCGAGCTTCTCAAAGATTTTGACAGCAGGGTCGTGCTTCTTTATGTTCTTCACAGCCTGCAGCCACCACTTGGCCGAGCCTTTGCTGGTCGCGTGTTTTGCAACCTGCTCCAAAGCGGAGGCGGCTTCAGCACTGGAGAAGACCTTCTTGCCATCATCGCACTCCGCGAGTATTGCGACGCCACTTGACCACACGTAGGCAACAGCCGGCTGCCCGACGCGAGGAGCTATGCGCACGAAGGTGGCAGCGACGTCAGCAGTTGCAAAAGCCGTCTTGGCAAAATCGTGGCCGTTTGTGATGGTGGTGACGGCGAAGAGCCACATGTACATCGTATCATCAGTCGTCATGATGTTACCTTGGTAGCCCAGTAGCCACATTTTAATTAGGGTGCCCTTTTTTGTGTTACATTTACTTAAAATAAGGGAACCCTGAACCAAAAAAAAGGGGAAGAAAGGGGTACCGCTGGGCTGCCATGTCACTGACCTCAACAAACCACTTGACGAAGCGCTGCGCAGCCAGGAGCTTCTTGGTCTGTCGGTTGCCACCAAAGGCCTAGGCTGCCCAGTAAAACCTAGGCTTAAAAAGGGTGCCCCCCTTTTTTTGCTTATAAAGGGGTTTTAACAAGGGAACCTAAGCCCCCCTTAAAAAAGGGGAATAAGGGTACTGGGCAGCCTAGAGGCGACAGTTTGGATCACGGAGCACATGGTCCCGATTGACTCGTCGTCGCGGCACTGCGGCAGGTGCTCGGCAATTTGCGGCACGAAGGTGGGCTCACGGAGCGGCAGCCATCCCTCCTTCTTGCCGAGAGGAAGCAAGTCGAACCAGGCGGCGAGATCTCCTAGGCTGCACAGTAACCTAGGCTTAAAAAAGGGTGCCCCTTTTTTTGCTTATAATAAAGGGGTTTAGAAGGGAACCTAAACCCTTAAAAAAGGGGAATAAGGGTACTACTGGGCATCCTGGTCTCCAGCTGGAGCTTGAGCTGCTGATGTCTCTTTTTTTGCGGCGGCGAGCTCCTGTTTGGTCTTTTCGAGCTCCGCTCGGAGGGCGGCATTTTCGGCTTCGGTCGACGACATCTATCTTGTTGCGCTGCTTTTTTGAGCGGGAACGCTGCAAAGAAATCGGAAGGCTGTTGTTTAGAGTTCAGACTTTATAGCCTGGAATACATTCTCCCAAAGATCCATGTACCGTAGACTGGCCCTTATCGATACTCGAGGATTAACCAGCAGGTTTATTTACTCACTGCCCAGATTGGAATAGCCAGAGAAGGCGTCAGTAGATCTGTCCGTAGTGTAGCCAGTAAATACTCAGGATGTCATCCCACGCGTCAACCTGCCCAAAGACTCGTTCCAGTAACAGCGCGGCACTGCGATCTTTGTAGGTTGTTGCTCGTATAAAAAGACCTGCCGAGATGACTTTTCTGTACATCGCCCATTCCGGACTTAGGGCCACCCAAAGGTCGATATATCACTTTAGCTTACCAGGACTACGCAATCCTGGACTTGTAATCAAGCAATGACCCTCGATGAAACTGCCTCATATTGCCTCATCTGCAGCGGCTGCCAGCGATTCTGCTACGTTTTTGGGGTTTGGGGTTTAGGGTTTGGGGTTTAGGGTGCAGGGTAAAGGGTTCAGAACCCTACACCCTGCACCGAGAACGCAAAAACAAAATCCTGTGCAATACCCACCGGGGAGGCCTGAAAGAAAATACAGCTTCGCCAGAGCTGCTGTTGCGGGGTTGGCCCAAGAACCCTAAACATCCCAACCCTAAACCCTAAACCCTAAACCCTAAACCCTGAACCCTGAACCCTGAACCCTGAACCCTGAACCTGAACACCAAGTCTGAGTCCCGGACTTTAAACTACGCACAACCCCCATTCAACGCGCTTCTCAACTATAGGGGTCCTGTAGGACTACTGCAACCCATTCCTACCTTGGAGCTTCGGGGTACTTACCCCCAAGTAGATGTGAACCTGGTACTTCTCAACCCGCGGTTTAGGGTTTGGGGTTTAGGGTTTAGGGTACTTGTAATCCAATTCTAACCACATCAGGATGCTGAAGGGAAGTGGCTTATGAGCACAGGTGGAATTGGGTTAGAAGTACCGAAAGCCTCCAACATCACGAAGACGATGCCTAAGGCAGCGGCAGAGGCTGGGTCAGACGCAGGGCATAGTGGCACAGCCTTGGTAACGGTAAAGCGTCAACCCTATAGCCGAACCACCAACACTAAACTCGAAGCGCCCTAACCCAAACGTAGGATGTGTGAGGATTCCCGGGTGATGTATGCTGCTTCACTCATACGTATGGATGAAGGCTTATTGAGGGCTTAGCAACAAGGGCTTATTGGGAAATATGGGCCCCTACACTCCCCTCCTGTCCACGTTCTGGTTCTTTGTGGTTCCAGATACTTGGGGCTTTGGAGGCTCTCAGGGCTCTTACCATTCAGGGATGAAGGTTGCGCGTTGAGGCTTTTGCGGCTCTTAGGGTTTAGGGTTTAGGGTTTAGGGTTTAGGGTTTAGGGTTTAGGGTTTAGGGTTAGGCTGAGCTTCTTTGGCTCCAAAACCCTATGATGGGGCTCATGAGGGTTGGGCGTCTTGGAGATGTTGGGTTCGTTTGAAACATATGGGGAATAGGATTGTGAGGTGCAGGCTAGACCTTCAGTAGATTCTGGTCAAGGAATCTTGCTGACTTTGGTTTACGACACACACGCACACGTCGCAAACACGCACATCCTTAACACACGCACACACACACACACACACAGACAGACAGGTGCTAGTATAGGGCCGGAAACTGCGTCCGCGTGTGTGGTAGGGGAAGGAGATCGCCATCAGGAATAAATTCCTGCAGATGTTGAGGGAGGCTAGGAGGGACCCTGAGAAGGGACCCTTAGGGCTTAGGCTTCTAGGGTTTCATTTGAGTTCTCCTGAACTACGTTCCTAGACATGAGGGAGGGAGCCCCGAAACCCTAAACCCTAAACCCTAAACCCTAAACCCGAAGTGACCCTTCATCGGAGGCCGCCTCTGGCTGCGTCCGCCTTTGTGACACTTAAATTGGGAATCGGACAGTTGTTGCTACATCTGCCTGTGCTCTTGTTTAGGGTTTAGGGTTTAGGGCTTAGGGTTTAGGGCTTAGGGTTCAGGGCTCAGGGTTTAGGGTGTAAGGGTTCTTCCTGCTGGCCCTCGGATGGCACCTGCTGTTTGCACAGGTGATCACGGAGCCGTCTTTCTGCAACTGGTGCTGCTTCTTCTCGTTTCTTGTCCCTGGTTCTTAGTAGGGAATGAGGGCCCTGAAAATACCCTGAAAGGGATTAAATAGGGCCCTCTTTCCCTCATTCCTAAGAACCTACGATTTGCTAAAGAACCCCCCACCCAAACCAAAAAAAAACAATCCCTATATTACCCTTATGAGGAAGAATACTTTTTACTTTTTAGGGGGGTTCTTAAGCAATTCGCAGTAACCAGCCAGTCCTGTCAGCAGGCTTCTTGATCTAAAGCCGAGAAAAGGATCCGTAGGTCGACTCTAGACACGCTGAACCCTGGACCCCCAAAACTCCGAGAACAGGGCTTAGGGTTTAGGGTTTAGGGTTTAGGGTTTAGGATTTAGGGTTTAGGGTTTAGGGTTTAGGGTTTAGGGCACAGCTAAGCTAGGGATGCAAAAGAGACATGTTGACTCTGGCAGTGCATGGCATTCACGCAGACGGAGTCCTCAGACCCTGCAGAACAAACACCCTAGCAGTCAACCGAAACCGTAAAAACCCGGACCTTACAAGCCTAGAGGCCCAGAGGCTAGAGACCTTAAACCCTCAACCCTAAACCCTACACCCGAAAGCCTAAACTCTAAGGTAACCTAATCGTAGGCTTCCGAAGAATGGACCTCCTTCGGCCCAAACTTGTAGGGTTTTCGTGTAGGGGTCAGGGTTTGGGGAGTTTAGGGTTCAGGGTTTATGGGTTTAGTTAGGGTTTCGGGTTTAGGGTTTAGGGTTTCGGGTTTAGGGTTTAGGGTTCAGGGTTTAGGGTTTATAATGACCAGGATGGCTCCTTGGTCTTGATGACCTGGGTGTAGTTTCCAGAAGACACGCGCCCGGAGAAGGGGTCATCGAGCTGCCCGTCCGTGAGGTAGACATTTTCCTCGGCTGTTTCTTCATTTCCCTCCAGCCCTAAACCCTACCAGCCCTAAACCCTACCAGCCCTAAACCCTAGACCCTAAACCCTAGACCCTAAACCCTAAACCCTAAACCCTAAACCCTGAACCCTAAACCCTATACCCTACCAGCCCTAAACCCTACATAAACCCGGGCATTACAGGTGTCGCCGCCGATCTAAAAGCCCAGGGACCTGTGGATTTGGGCTTCAGGGTGCAAGGTTGAGGGTTGAAAGTAAGAATCTTAAACCCCAAACGGTTTTAGGGTTAAGGGTTTAGGGGGTAGAAGGCCCTAAAGGGCATCCGGGGTATGTTGGAATGTGTGGCATGTTGCAGGGCACAGAGGCACATTTTGACAGCAACCCATGCTGCAGAGGCTGTTCAGGGTTTACGGTTTAGGGTTTAGGGTTTAGGGTGTAGGGCCTTGAGAATGCTAATGGGACAACCCGAGAAGCCTTGAGTTTCTTAGCAGCTCGTGCTGCCCGCAAGCCAAGCTTAGCATGTCGGTATCTTAGGCTTTAGGCTTTGAGCTTTCAGGTTTCGGGTTCAGAGTACCCCTTTCGTGACCCCCTGTATAGTAAATCCTACATCCCTAACCGCCGACCCCCAGGAAACCACTGCCCGGAAAGCAATCCGAAATTCCCAAGGGCTCACCTCCGCAGACTCACTATCCTAGACCAACAAACCCCACGTTAACCCCGAACCCCAAAACCCAAAACCCTGAACCCTGAACCCTGAACCCAAGAAGACCTCGAGACACGAAATCGTCTAATCGCCCACCCTTGGGGTTCCGAGTTGAGTTGCCCAAAAGCCAAATCCTGAAACCTAAACCCTACACCCTTGAGGGCGGGGGGGGGCGGGGGGGGGTAGGGTCCCTTTCCCCTCTATAGAGTAGTTGTCTAAAGAGGATCCCTTTTTGGGGTCTTTGCGTCGTGAACTACCCATATATCAACCCTAAGCCCTAAGCCCTAAGCCCTAAGCCCTAAGCCCTAAGCCCTAAGCCCTAAGCCCTAAGCCCTAAGCCCTAAGCCCTAAGCCCTAAGCCCTAAGCCCTAAGCCCTAAGCCCTAAACCCTAAACCCTAAACCCCAAACAAACCAACGAGGAGAGGAGCTGGCAGGTTCGCCCGCTGGTTTTGATCCACCGTGCGCACCTACCCAAAGAGCACAGAGACAGGGGGCTTATAAGGTTTAGGGTTTAGGGTTTAATTAGGGTTTAGGGTTTAGGGTTTAGGGTTTAGGGTTTAGGGCTTAGGGTTTAGGGTTTAGGGTTTAGTTTAGGGTTCAGCGCCGGGGGTCTACCATCAAGGGTTTCGGGTTTAGGGTTAAGGGGTGAGGGTGTTCAGTTGGAAGTGTTCAAAAATGCAGTTCGGGATGTCAAGCTTAGCGGGATGCAGTGGGCTTGAGGATGCAGAATGTCAGGGCTTCAATTTCGGGTTTGGCGTCATCCCTACATCCTCACCCTAAAGCCCTACAGCAGTACCGCACACCGTAAAACCCCTAATCCCGAAAGCACTAAAGCCCCAAATCCCTGAACCCTGACGCGCTAAAGCCCTAAATCCGTGAACCCCCCCCAAACCCCTAAACTCCTCCAACCCTAATCTAATTCCATCCCAAAATCCCTACCTCCTTCTAGGGTATTTAATTCACCCTACTCGGACCCTGGGAGAAGAAGTATATTTCGGGTATAAGTAGCTGCAATAAGAACCCAGAACCCAAAAAAAAACATTAAAGTACAGTACTCCAAAACCCAGTTAAAGGGGCTTTGAGGCGGCTTGATAGTATACCTCTCATTGGGTAACTACCTGCAGCTCCCGCGTGGCAATGTGAAGCAAGCTCAGTTACCAAGACCTCCATCGCCTAAACGGCTTAGGGTTTAGGGTTTAAGGTTTAGCGTTGTTTCATTCAAGTGGCCTTTGTGTCGCGTAATTACT